GTAAAATAAAGACAACATTACATATCGGTTGCTGCTCACCTACTGCTTTTGATTCTGTTGTTGTCCCTGTTGTCCCTGTGGTATTCAGATTACCACGGGAGCATCTTGTCCAGTGTAACGAACACATCTACTCCGTTCAGGTACGGTGTGTGTACTGGCTTTCAGTGGCGGGATGTGCGGTGCTTGTACTGTAAATATACAACATTTCGGCAACTGTTTAATTTCGGCTCTATTCGGCATGGACCAAAAACGCCGAAATTAAAACGCCGATGAAATCTTCACATCGCCTTTCGTGATGTACTAGTAGGTCGTTAATCCCGTGCTGAATATAAATCGCTGCCGAAATGTCCATAATCGTGAAATGGCAAAAAATTTCCAGCGCCAACTTTTTTGATTTTTGTATATTGTTTGTGTTGTATAAGGGCTTGTTGTTGAGTCCTTGTTCATTCTTCTTCCATTGTGTGTCGGATGGTGGTGCTGCTGCAGGATTTGATTCAGGTCCAGTCCGGAGTTCTGGTACCCAGCTTGAAGAAGCTGCTCGCGTTTGCGTCGAAACACATTCATGAATGTGAAGTAAGTTTCGGCTTCTAGTATTGTTGTCTGTGACGACTCAGTGCCGTTTCCTTTCAGTGGCTTGAATATTTAATGAAGTTTTTTTCAGAGTACAGGTCGTCCCTCGTTAATACATAATAATGGGGTTTATGTACTAAACGAAAGTGTACATAACTTGCTTGTGTACCAGAATTTTTCACTTTTTTCAACTTTTCTGTGTGTTTCTTGCTACCATGACTAGTGACCTAGATATTCTTGATTCCCTCGATATAACATAAAAATTATGTTATAGCGGTCACAAGTCAGGGAAGATTCCACAGTTTACATGATACATGCCCAGCCGCGCCTGTACAGTCACTCGGGAAAAAACAGAGCTTTGTCGGTTTGTGATGTACGCTCTGATTTCTGAGCTAATTGCGTCCACAAGTAGAAACTAGAACACGATGTGCCTCCACTGGAAGGCCAAAAGACCAACAAATTATGTACTACCGTAAAAGTCCGTAAATAAGTACCTGCCCGACAGAAATACCCCCTTCATTCTTTTGGCTCTGTCTGTTGAAGTCAAGTCAAGCCCGATAAACATACTGCCCGAAATAAGTACCGGTACGATGCGCACACGCTGACGTAGCATGTACATCGACATGAAAATGACTTCTCCACTACACACAAGTCAGGTCCGAAAGTTAGTTCGTGCCCGAAAGTCAGTACCCGCCCGAAAGTTAGTACGGGTGTGGTCACTAAATTCGAAAGTAAATACGTACTTATTTACGGACTTTTACGGTATTGAGGTAGGTGACATGCGGGTACGGAGAAATGTTATGTACTAACAGGGTTTATGTACTAACGAAATATGTACTAACCGACAAAATTTGTATGGAAGTGACCACGTTTCGTCCGGGACTTGAGGTTTCTTTATGTACTAACGGGGTTTATGTACTAACCGGACTCGTATTAACGGGGGACGACCTGTAGTTGCAGTGCACCAGCTTTGTGTTGCATGTCTTATTCATAGTGTTTGTAAACGAAATGTCGGCATGGAGAAAGCAATGTAATCATAGCAATCGAGAGTACAATCGTTGCAGACATGGCCACGCAACATTACGACTTTGTAGAGTTTAGAGATTATTATTGTACGGATATTACAAAATCTAGATTTTCGCGTTCCGCTCATCAGTAGAGAATATCGGTACTAAAGGTTTAATAGCTACTCAAAAAGAACATCAAATACTATAATTATAATTGAGAGTGTGAACAAGGGAAGTGATAAAGCGTTACACACTACCATCGGCAGTGCCATTGTGTTTGTTTTGCGTGTAAAAGAGGCTGTTCGCTTGAGTTATGACAGTTCCCCGTTACCGCATACGTGTATTGGCCCATCACTCAGTGTCTGTTTGCAGGAGTAGCGCTGTAAGCACGGCTACGATTCATGACGGTGGCGATCTGTTTTGGTGTGATCTGATCATAGGTGTGTCGCATGAAAGGATTCATCTGTGAGATCTGCAAAGACGAGGATGTCATCTTTGCGTTTGACGTGGCCAGCTGCACGCAGGTAAGAACTGCCACGGAAAATATGTGGATAGTGGTGTGCGTGTGAGCGCTCGTGTGTACTGTGTATGTGTGTGAGCGCTCGTGTGTATGCGTGTGAGTGCTCGTGTGTATGTGTGTGAGCGCTTGCGAGCACACACACACGTGCATGTGTGTGCATGTGAGTGCTTGTGCACACACGTGTACATGTACATCATGGTGGTCAAGTATGCTCGTGATAAGTCATGCACACTCGCAATAAGCCACACGCTTTCGCTATGCAGACGGCACGTGCATTTGTTTTGTGCAGACAGTATCCGTACGCCGCCACTCACTCACAAGAAATTATGCAACTTCGCCCCCTAGTACTGACTGCACGACTTATAGACAGTAAAACGTGTACGTGTATACAGTCAGACCGCGCATAACCGCAGTGTCTGCTCCAGCGCCGGGTGAGCCGGGTAATCCACCCGGTTGGGCGGCGCTTGGACCCGGTTGAAAGTATAGTACCGGGTAACCTGTGACCCGGTTGGTACTTTACACGTTCGAACTTTGAAATGACTGACTACATGGCTTGTACATGTATGTGTCAGATACTTCTTCTTCTTTCGTAATTTTCTAATTCCTGTCCTCTCTTTTCTAAATGCGGCTTATCCATTCCCCTTTATATCATTAGGCTTAGTTCCCATTTATTGTCCGAATGAAAATAAACCAACCAACCAGTTAAATCATGTGACTCGGCTGGTGAGACAGCGCCAGGTACATGACTGTGTACCCGGTTGAAATGGTTGCGCCAGGTACACGTGTACCCGGCTGTCCCACAATCCTAGAGCAGACACTGAACCGCACACATCCGTTTTCCACAAAATCATCCGGATAGGCGAGGGAACCAGATAATTGAACACACGTACTGTATGTATGCATGGTATATGCTGTAAATCGGTAACCAACGATTTCCTTCCGGATGGCGAGTGATCCGGATAAAAGAGGACCGGATAAGTGAAGTCTGACTGTAGTGAATTACCGTATTATCTCTAATATAAGCACAGTCTCCAATAATAGCACGTCTCCAATAGTAGAACACCTTGGGGCGGCATTCAAAAAATAAAGTGCTCAGTCTCCATTATAAGCACACTGTGTAAATTCATTATCTGTACCGGCAAAAAAACCCGAAATGTGTGTGTCATACATGAATTTGGCATGGCAACATGCCTCTGAAATGAGGTTGAAATAATAATGGAACAGTCTCCAATAAAGGAACGTCCCCATTAATAGCACGGGGCGGAGGTACATTGAAAAAATAAAGGACCGTGCTTATATTAGAGATAATACGGTAGTAATGTTTCGATTGCATTCATAACGCACTCTCATGACCTGCTTGGCTTAGTTTTTTCGTCGCCTTCTCTGACTATGTTTATATGCACAGTGTGCCCGCTGCCTGGCTGTCTTCCATCGTACCTGCAAGGCCAAGGTTCCCTGCCCAAAGTGCCAGCGACTAGCCGCACGCCAACAGCGGCTGATGAGCCAGAGTGACGGCAGCGATGGCTGACAATCTAGACGGTAGCATTGTCTCTGTCTGTCTCTCTATTTTTTTTAATTTTCCTCCGTCATCCGCCACACCATAGCTGCGCTCTCCAGTCGAGGTCGGCTGGAGCGACCCTTTATTTAAATTTACTCCGAGCTAAACTATACTATATCACGTCACGTTCTGGTTTGGGACGTCCCAGTGGTGGAGACAGAATAATATTTTCCGCATACCGGAGTTGCTTGTCTTTATATGTGAAAAATAACGGAGATGCAAATACATAATGCTTGTCAAGTTATCATGAAAGAAATTACATGTATGGAAGCACTTCCACATGAAAGAGTATGCTACCTTATATCTACCGGTACATACTTTTGAAGCATTCTATGACAGAGACTTCTGAACATTTTTTTAATAATGAAATTGTATGTATGTTTGCTAGGGATTTGCTGACAATCATCATAATCATCATAATCATCACTTACACATGAAATTTTCCTTTTAGGTCTATCATCTAGGAAGCAACCATGAAATTCACTCAACATTTTTTTTATTAGATTAGGATTGTCCTGGAGCAATGAATGTCGACTGAACTGCTGGCGTTGTCCTCAAGATGTACATGGTCGGCTGTGTTTGGAGCTCAGGTGTACATGGTCGGTTGTGTTTGTAGCTCTGGGTAGTGAAGTCGTCAGCTTGAAGACTCGTCGGTTGTCTTCTTGAATGCCTCCGCGCCATACACACCCTTCTCCTTGACAGCCTTTAGCCTTCTCCTGTCCAAATCCCACTTGCCCACGAAAAACAAGGAGAGACCGATGGGATAAACGATCAGCCATGTTCGATTCACGACCTTCAGACCCCTCACGTTCGTCGCCTGACGAGAAAGCGGCTTCATATTCCCCCAATGGAGACCTAACTCAACGACCCAAAAGAAACAGGCTAGCAATAACTGTGCATGAACACTAATACTGCACGGCCTCGCATTCTAGAACAATGTAGCTCGTGAAACCATTGCAGCTAACAGAAGTTAGTTGAAAATATTATCACGAACACTTATCTTCTTGAAATCGAAAAAATATAAATAATTATTTTTATTATACGTACTGCACTGGGCCAAGCAATGACCTCATCAGGCTTATGCGATGATGCGTCGATGAGTCATTCAGGTTCAAAAATGCTAGTCGAGTCGACACGACGTCGTTTTCTTCGTCCCCCAGTAGCAGCAGTTTAGTTTTTTATACTTCTTCGTATTTTATCAGTTGCTTGATGAACTACAATCGTCCTTGATGAAAAAAGCGCAACATGCCATGATTTCTCGCCGCCAAAGCTGGTGCGAGTGCGAGAATATTTTCCTCTTCTGCCCGGCAAATTCTCGCAACATATGAATCATTCTGGAGAAGACAAAAATTGTCAGTATAAAAACTTTCGCTGCTCCTCAAATCTGCTACATGTTGAGATGTTCAGCTATCCTCTGATGAAGGGAGAGTACATACAGCTGTGCTGAAACTCTGCTTTCCGAAGCTAACCGTGTATGATTCCACTACATTGCTACACGTCTTGTTGAATGGTGAGCTAGCCCTCCTCGTGCTGTTGCAGATTCCACTTCAATAAATTGTTCCTCACCACGCACGACGAAGAGTGCATTCCTTGCATCACGTATTCGTAAATCTAGGAATCATCGCCTGGTGCAAACATTCACGGCGTGGATAGTCGCCTAATCGTGGTCTGGAACAATGCCTAAAGGAAAGAGCAGGAGAGCGGGCAGTAAAGCCCGAGCGGCATCATCACAACAGCCACAGGCAGATGGAGCCCAAGCTCAAGCTCATGTGACACCACCAAAACCTCCAAAGACAGATAAAGCCGAAGCCCAAAAGGCTGCGAAGAAAGGAGAAACCCAAACCGAATCTCCACAACCTGTGGAGAAAGGTGAACTTAAAGTTGAAGTGCCACCATCGCAACCTCCGAAGAAAGATGACACCCAAGCTGAAGTACCCCCAGTACAGCTTTCTCCGGAGAAAAGCAAACCTGATGTGCCCGCATCACAACCTTCGAAGAGTGGCGAAGCGCCGCAAGGCAGAGAACCGCAAACGCCGAGTGCTGATCCACCTGCTTCACCGGAACAAGACCCCGAAGTGTCGAGCACGCAAGGAATGGAGAAAGCGGCGAAAAAGTGTGTGCCATATGAATTGGAAAAGTTCGAGGTAAGGTTCTTTGTTTCATGCGACGGGGTATCCCCAAGCTGGAAGTAGTTACCGTAGTAACGCACATATAGGCACATGTGCCTGTATTCGGATATACCGTAATAACGCACATAATTATAAGCACATGCGCTTATATTGGTGGATTTTTGCTACGAATCCAATTTTCAAAAATGAAAATGTTTCACCTAAACGCGCATGCGCGATCGGAGTTCGTTTGCCAGAGTCTTTGTGTTTGACTAGGTTTTGTAGTATCAGTTTTGGATCATGCGCTTATAAGTGAGAGTGCGCTTATATCCGAATACAGGCACATGCGCCTATATGTGCGTTACTACGGTAAGCGCACTCTCACTTATAAGCGCATGCTCTGATAGGCGAAGCACTACCAAAATTCTCACTTTGACAAAATCACGGATAAAAGTGTGCAAACAGTATACGGGAACCATGAAACTGACACTACAAGACCTAGTCAAACACAAAGACTCTGGCGAATAGACTTCGGTCTATATGGGAAATAATTTAGGCCTCGTAAAAGACCTCGGCGGACCCGGCCTATATTTCCCATATAGACCTCGTCTTGGTCAATATCCTATACATATCGCCTACAGTAGGCATCGGCGGCTAATGCTCGTTTTTTCACAGTATAATGCTTTTGGCAGTGCTCGATATTTCACGGCATAATGCCTGTTATAATGCTCCATTCACACTATAATGCTAGAGTGATATGTACATTTTCCAGCTATCTTGGGCAAATATGCACATGGAAAAGAAATGTATCCACAATTGGCTCATACTGAGATAAGGAAGTGTAGTTGTATATGCATGACCACACTAGACAGATACATCATACATGTACCTGCTGCATGTCCAACAAGAAGAATGTAGAACGCAAGAGCAGCATGGCAGCTGATAAGGAAGACAGTCCAATTGCCAGAAGTGCAGCAGCCATCATGAATGACCTAGCAAAGTACATGGTGGAGTAATATAGCCACTGCATACCAGAACCACTCACAGTTCCAAACTAATGCGACCGCGGTTGTACTGTAGCATCAGCTGTAGTTCAATATGATCCTCCAGGGTGCGCTCTTGCTGTGACGTCATGGCTGCTTGTAAAAGGGAGAAGACTCGTTCAGCCGAAGCGGAAGACGGTGGCACCGTCAAAAGAACTTTGGCAGCCTTGCTCCACTGCGAAAGTTCAGCGTGCTCTCTCCACCAGGCCAAATCGTCGTCATTAGCGATGTCAGCTTCTGCAGCAGCAACCTTGTAGAGCGCAAGCTCCAGCTTCAAGTCGTTGATGAGCTGATCGTCATCTAACACCGGGAGTACACGTAGGGTATCGACCTCAGCTGGTGCAGGATTGGTCCTCTCAACGTACTTGGGGCATGCAAGGCGTGCTGCTTTGTACATTGCCACAACAGCATGAAGAGGAGACTCGACGTGGTTAAACTTGCGCAGGAAGTAGCATATGGCTGGCTGAACACAAGCCGTGGCATGAGCTGTCAGCTCATTCTGTAGCTGTCGGTTGTCATGTGCGATCTTCTTCACCACAGCAGCAACATTGGGGTAGTAAGCATCTTGAGCTGCTGTAGCAACTTCTGGCAAGTGCGTGTAGGCATTGGTGCTGAGTGGTCCATCCCCCTCCAGGATGTATGTTTTCTTTACGAATGGCTCACCTGCATCAATTGTGACGGCAAGCTCAACTTGGAACAAATCGGCACTGTTTTCTGCAGTCTCGTTGTGCAGGATAGCTAGACAGTGCCTGCGTGCCGCTGGACTCCACTCACAGTTTGTCAAGAATGGCTCCACATCTCCAAAGTAGCGTAGGACCTGCGCCAGGACTTCATAAAGACTCCACCATCTGGTGTTACTGTGTGACTTCGGTGATACACCGGTTCTCGTTTTCCAGGCCAGTCGTGCCGCTGGGCTCTTTGCAAATAGGCTCACCCACCAGGTTGCGAACTCAGCCAGGACAGGTGTTGCAAAGCGGCGGCCAACATTGTCCAGGGCATGGGAGGCGCAAAGGACGTCCATAGCTCTGGGAAAGAAGAGGTTCTTCACCTGGTCCACAGCAACACCGTTCACTGCTGCTCCATCTCGAACAAATGCAACAAGTTTGCCATCTGCCAGTTGGAAAGTTGTGCTGAGGCAAGTTGCAAGCTCGCGTGCCAGCTCCAAACCAGTCATGGACTTAGCCAGCACATGCAAACGCACTAAACGTTGCTGCACTTGCCAGTCGTCATCCAGGAAACGCACTAGAATGGCAAAGGCCTCTCCAAGGTATGTTGTTCCGTCAAAAATGACAGCAATGTGCTGGGCCGTCTTCACTTCTTCCTTCAGTTTAGCTTTCTCTGTTTCCAACAAGAAAGGTATAATTTGCGCCAGATGGGTGCTGAACGTCAACCTGGCGTTGTTGGCCTCTAGAAGGGGTCGAAGGTAGTCCACCTTCGCTAGTGGTATGCCAGCCTTCAACATCACTTCCACAACGTTCGTGCGTCTCATGATGGTGGAGTCATCCATAGCCGTACTGAGGCCGGTGCCCTTCAACTTCTCCTCGTGCTTTTCCTGGTACTTCTTCCAGGAAGTTGTCAAAGTTGCCTGGTGAGCAGCCGCCTTTTTCCTTTGATCCTTGGCTCGATGATGGCGATCCGTTGAAATGTGGCCCTTTACGATGCTCTTCTTTGGCATCACAACAGTGTGACAAGCGTCACAGAACAGCTGTCCGGCTGATATACACAAGTGCTCCCCTGGGAACTCTTCAATCCGTTTGGCGGAGTTGACGCGAGACACCGTCGTAGATGCCCCTCCTCGCACTCTTGTTCTGTTTTTTTTTTGGTTTGGAAGACCGTTCAAATGACCTGGGCCGGGATATTGCTGCATCCTTTGCTTTGGGCAGCTCACATTCCTCTTCCTCTGTTTCCTCATCAGAGTCATCACTTAACTCCATTGTATCTTCATAGTCACTGTCCATGGTCGCTGCAAAACAGCAGCAGCTAGGTAAACATCCAACGCGACAACACGACACTCAACAGATGCAAGAGAGCCGTTTTCTTTTGAGCTTTGTAGTTTGTGCAGCTCTCTGCTCTGCGCCGAAAGAGCACACCGAGATCTCGAGAAACCTGTTTGCGCCAGGTCAAAGTGCATATGCGAGCATAAAACGGACACAGGATATACCCGCACATACACGGTACTAGACTGTGTACAGTTCGAGTACACTACCGCTAGTCTGTACCAGGGAGTAGTATATATACGGTATTGTACTACTCCCTGGTCTGTACTAGACTGTAGCCAGTACTATACATCCTTGTACAGTCCTGGCGGATGAAATCCGAAGCGTCACACTTCCAGCGACTTGCGGTCAGGCGGATAATGCTTTGCGTCCGCAGCCTGACCGCGCCGCATATAGTTGCATGTATCGCCAGTCCACTAGTCGACGAAAACACGCAACTGTCGGAAGAGCGACAGTGATCAAATTCATATCTCAAAAGACCTTTATTACATTATTTTTGCATCGGATATAGTGATTGATTTATAAATCAAGTGGTGTCAGAGGAGGACAGGGTGTTACTTCTTCGTGAAGAATTTGTCCGGTGTTGTTTGGTGAGTTCTGCTTGTACAAGTTGCCAAATATGCCTCCATCGTGAGGAAATACTGATGTTATGTGTCAGGAGCTGTAGCCAGCTATGCTGTGCGCATGTGCACAGCGCCCCGAGTCGTTCGACACCCCACTCGCATACAGTGCATGCAGTGTCGGTCGTAGTAACATATCGCTTATATTGATGAAATGCTCAAAATCAAACACCAACGCTATAGGTGATATTGACTGTGGACTGCATGGTGTGGGTAAGGCCTTGTGAGACATTGACCTTTACCAACCCCGTCACTTACCGTACTCACATGCACAAAAGTGCATATTAAATGAAAACAAGGAAAACGGCGGGGCACCAGATTTTGAACAGTCAGACGTGCACCCACCCGTGACCCATATTCAGATTTTGAACAGTCGGACGTGCACCCACCCGTGACCATATTCAGATTTTGAACAGTCGGACGTGCACCCACCCGTGACCATATTCAGATTTTGAACAGTCGGACGTGCACCCACCCGTGACCATATTCAGATTTTGAACAGTCGGACGTGCACCCACCCGTGACCCATATTCAGATTTTGAACAGTCAGACGTGCACCCACCCGTGACCCATATTC